AAAAAAAAAAATAAAGGTTGTCATCACACTCCCCCCCCCCCACGCTGATGGTGGTGATGGTGGTGATGGTGATGGTGATAGGAATGATTTTCTCTCCCCCCCCACAAACAATGGTGGTGGTGATGGTGATGGAGGTGGTGATGATGGTGGTGATGGGGGTGGTGGTGGTGGTGGTGATGGGGGTGGTGGTGGTGATGGTGATGGTGGTGGTGAAAAAAGATGGTGGTGGTGATGGTGGTGGTGATGGTGATGGTGGTGGTGGTGGTGATGGTGATGGTGATGGTGGTGGTGATGGTGGTGGTGATGGGGGTGGTGGTGGTGATGGTGATGGTGGTGGTGGTGGTGATGGTGGTGGTGATGGTGGTGATGGTGATGGTGATGATGACTATGGCCATGATGCCGATGACTATGACCATGATAGCCATGATATGGTGATGGTGATAGGCTTGATCACCACCACGATGACGTCGACAACATTGCATGGGAGACGAGTGCGGCGAGAAGGGTGTTAATGTCGGCGTAAGAGTCGTGGGTGAAAGAGGCGGTACGGGCTCGGATGAGGTCAGCAGTGAGAGCAAAGTTGATAGAGAGGACGGCGTCTTCACGTGCGCGGTATCCACCGAGATCAATGTGGTAGGCGATGGCAGCCAGCAGCAACGGCCAGGCGGTGTGGCGCATGTAGTTGCGGCCGGAGACATCGTTGCCTGTTGAGTCTTTGCCTGAGGCAAGGAGCTCGATGGCATCCGAGATAACGCGGCCTGGGTACTTGCCTGGCCGGCCTCTGTGGTACTTGGCGACGGCTTCGGAGAGATCGTTGGTAAACTGCGGCCAGAGACAGGAGTTGGCGAGGCTACCGAGCGGATGGAAGGTCGCTGCAGTAGGACGGCTGGTGTGATCTGCACTGTCGACGGTGTGGCACCAACCATCGGGCGCTACCAGCGTGACTAGGAGCTCGGCCTGAGCCGGAGCAGACGGGGCGGCGGCGCCGTAGCTCTCGAACCACATCACGCGGTCTCCACGTGCACCATCACTTCCGCATACGACAGGTCGATCTCTGGCTCTTGCCCGCTGGCGGAAGCAGCAGCCAGTCCACGATCAGGGATGACAGAGGGGGGAGGGTAGCGCTCGCGCGCGCATGCCTGTGCGTTCGGTGGGGGGTGGCTGCAGCTACGCTCCAGCATCGCGAAGGGAGGCGGCGATGGCGGTGTTGCCACGGCGGAGCGCAGCGGCGAGCGGGGCGCCGTCCCTAAAGGCGACGTCGACGCGCGGATCGGCGAGGAGGAGGTCGACAACGGCGGCGTGGCCAAACTCGACTGCGCCAAGGAGCGCGCGGGAGACCGAGGCTGCCAGCGACGGGCCGGGATCGTCGAGGATGAGCGCAACGACGGACGGGTGTCCGACCGAGGCAGCGAGGCGGAGGATGCTTGCCTTGCAGATGGCGATGTCGTGTGCGTCAGTGTAGGCAAAGATGACAGCGAGCGTCGAGCCAGAGCCGCTCAACGCGCTGTTGTTGGCAGCGGCGGTGATGTCCGCCTCGTCAAACTCGTCGCACTCGCTCAGGAGCCAGTCGATGACCTCGGCGCGCCCGTTGCCTGCGGCCTGGCGGAGGGCACCACCCCGGTTTCCGGCGACATGAACATGCGGTAGCTCTGCCAGGCGCATTGCCAGCTCCAGGTGTCCACCGGCAGCAGCGCGGACAAAGGCTAACTGGCCGTTGGCCTCCACACCCGGGTACGCCATCAGCGCCTCGACCACTTCAGCGAGGCCCGAAGCAGCGGCTATCTCAAGCAGGCGAGGATGATCGGCGGCGCAGTGCAAGTTCTCGTCCTTCAGCAGCATGTGTGTCGCCTCCCATGCACCCCAGTGAGCGCACCAGACGTAGAACGGCCAGTCCCATGCGGAGCAGGCGTACGAGGTGTTGAACAACTCGGGCGCGATGGCAACCATGCGGTCGACAAGGGCGATAAAGTCCGGGAGACACGCCAGAGCCTTTGCCTTTGCCAAGGGCAAGCTGACGAGATATGTCATGAGATCGTCGACGGCTTGAGCAGAGCGATCATTGTTGAGAGCCATGACGATGGCTCGTATGTTGCTTGTGGCGGCGACGGCTGGCAGGCCGAGGCATGCCATGGCTCTGGCGCGGAGGTACGGGTGGCTCTCGCCCGGCGGTCCGAGGAGGATGGTGTGGAGGGCGATGCATGTCGAGGCGAGGGAGATGACGTCGATGGCGGCGAGGGCGGTGCTGTATGCGATGGCGTGAATGAGTTCGGAGGGGAGGGTGAGGAGCGGGCAGGCCATGACCGTTGCGAGGGGGTGTGGAGACGAGGGGTGTCGATTGTGGGCACGAGAGTTGATCGTTGGTCGATCCTTGTAACGAACCGGAATCGTTGGACGATTGTGGGCACGAGAGTTGATCGTTGGTCGATCCTTGTAACGAACCGGAATTGTTGGACGATTGTGGGCACGAGAGTTAATCGTTGGTCGATCCTTGTAACGAACCGGAATCGTTGGACGATTGTGGGCACGAGAGTTAATCGTTGGTCGATCCTTGTAACGAACCGGAATCGTTGGACGATTGTGGGTACGAGAGTTAATCGTTGGTCGATCCTTGTAACGAACCGGAATCGTTGCACGATTGTGGGTACAAGAGTTAATCGTTGAACGATTAGGGTAACGTTGAGTAATCGTCGGATGCGACAGGTGTCCGCAACGGTCCCGAAACAGACCGAGTGTGGCATCGGCATCGTATTCGGCAAGGGGAAGATACCTCTCTCCGAGCCAGCAAGCGAGAGGCATGGCAACGATCACGTCCCTCCCCACAGAACTCATCCATCTCGTGGCGTACACACTCAGAATGCTCTCCGGACGCGATGTGGTCGCCCTCGCCTCGACTTGCACCCGACTCCATACCGCACTCCTCGGCTCACACCATGGTCAGGCACAGGCACGGGCACTCGGCGGATTCGATGTCTGTATGGCGCATGGATGGTGGCGATCGGCGTGGATAGCCATGATGCGGCAGGCCGAGATCGAGGAGTTCATCGAACTGTGGTTCATCGAGAAGTTGGGCCGGCGATCGTGGTCCAAGTCCCGCATGGAGCGCGTGGCCATGGCCAGAGCCATGGATGACGAGTGGTGGCGGAAGGTGGTGGTGGCGGTCATGAAGAGCCGCGCAGCTATCAAGATCAGGAGGCGACAGACGATCATGGGCTTGCGATGGTTGACGGATGACAGATGGATGGGCATGGGGAGTATCAT